ATGGGTGGCTTCTTACCAACATGCAGGGCTCATGTCACCTTCTCAGAGAGGCCTCTGAGCACTCACCATCAGGGGGTAATAATAGCTGGCACTACTCGCATGTGTCCATGTGCCAGGCACCATTTTATGTCCTTTCCATGTATTCACTCTTCGAATCCTTACAACAACCCTATAAGGTAGGTATATTATTTCCATTTTAGCAAATGAGGAAACTGAGACTCAGAGAGGTTAAGTGACATGACCAATGTCTCACAGCTAACAGGTAGAAGAGCTGGGATTCAAACTCAGCAGCCCATTTCCAGAGCCTACATTCTGAACCTGAACCTTATCTCCTGGTGCAGAGTCAGTTTACAATAACTATTATTATTACTGTTGTTGTTTTAACGGAGGCTGAATTTCACCCACCCACACTCTTTAACTGAGTTTGGATTCCTTTAGGCGGGCCACTGACTGTCCAGTTTGCCCCAGTCCTTCCTGTTCCCCACTATCTTACACCAATTTACCCAACTTGCTTGGACCCTAAAGGCATTCACATTTGCAGCCTCTGCTCTGGGTGCCTCTTACTCATTCACTCACTCTTTTAACCAACACACTGTGCCACGGGCTGTGCTAGGCCCACAGGGACGAATAAGAGAGCATCCATGCCAGTGGCTGTGTTCAGAGACCTGCACACAGGTCACTTCACTGCATTGTTATGTGCACTGTCAACAGGATGTCAACGGGTGTTAGGGAAGCACCGAACGGCACAGGGGGATTCAGCCAGGGAGGATTTCCCAGAGAAAGTGACATCTCTGCTGGGTTTGAAAGATTGGACAGGAAGCAGATGGGAAAGATGCAGCCCAAGCAAGTGGAGGGAGCACAAGCAAACATATGGAGGTGGCGAGTGCACGTATGTCTAAGGACCAGCTTGTCACTTTGGATGAGAAGGAGGAGTGAATCTGATCTTGAAGGGCTTCCAGGCTTCTGGAAGGACTGCAGCTTTTTGTTGTGGAGTCTGAAAGCAGCCTAGGAGGATTTTAAGCAGGGACCAATGCAGGGATTTGAAGCGTTGTTGGTAAGGGTTCCACCCCTCACCCACCCCCACTTTTCCCAACCTGCCTTGAGAACTTTGTCCCCAGCTCAGGTTCTGCAGGCTGGTGAGCCTTTATCAGGCATTTGATGGGCTTGGTGATGACAAGACTAGGGGCCAGGAAGAAAAGATTAAGAGTGGGAATTCAGGCCTCCCTTGGCCTCTGGACATCCCTGAACTGGCCTAGCCTCCAAGAATCATTTTTGATGAGAGATTCTGGGAAGCAGGCCATTGCTAAGGCCAAGCAAACTCCCAAAACCATGGAAGGAGCCGGAAAGTAGAAAGTAGTGCCTTCACCAGTTTTCCCTTCCCAAGTCGGGGTGGGCAGGATGCCCAGCCTCTTCATTTGCAGGAAGCCCCCTCAACCTGGCCTCCCTCCTCTGGGCTCTGTAGTCCCTGCTCCTCCCAGCTGGGGCTCTGGCGATGGCCTTGGGGGACATCTCTGAGCTGTACAGTTAGGCTCCTCTCTGAGAGGGGAAATGTTGGAACACCTTTAAAGACCCCAATTCCCATCCTTTCCCTCCAGCCCAGAGTCAAGGTATGGCAGCAGAGTAGGTAGATCTGCATTTTGGTCCTGGCTTTGCCAGTTATAATTTATAAAATTCGGATAAGTCCCCTGGCCTCTGTGACTCTCTGTGTCCTGACCCACAAACTAAGAATGGTACCACTGATGTCTCAGAATCTTTGTGCCAACTGAACAAGATAGCACTTGCCAAGCACTTGACACAAACATGATTCTTATCAGTGCTGGACACTGGTGGCTGGAGTTCATCAGGTGGAGGGTGGCGGGATGGAATGAAGTGGACATTGGATGGAGCACAGTGGATTCAACACATGTTTTGGCAGAGGAGACAGCACTTGCAAAGGCATAGAGGGTGACAAGGCATGGCAAGGTGGGAGAATGTTATGTCCTCAAGCACTTCACTGTGCTTGAAGCATGGGGTGGCTGGAGTTCTCCCAAAAGCAGATCCTAAGACTTGGGTGGTCACAACCTATTTGAGAGATGATTTCAAGAAGCAGAAGTGAGGGCATGGAGAGTGAAACGGGGAGGGGAGAAAATAAGACAGGGCTCATTAATGTGCAGCTTGCTGCCATTAACAACTGGGTTCGGTTCCCCTGGAAACTGTCTAAGAGACAGTGTGAAATGCACCTTGGAATCCCCCTATCTGAGGATGGGGAGTCGTCAACTTCCTTGAAGACTGAAGGTCACCCTCGGGGGTGGGGTAGCACATTCCTCTCCCTTCCTGGTTCATAGACGCCTGAGAAAACCCTGGGGCAAGGAAGCAGAGAGAAGCAGGACTCTGAGTGGAGGGGCTCACACCTGCTGGAAACTACCACACGGGCAGGGGGGCTCAGAGCAGGGATGAGGTGATATGAGGCAGGTATCAACACTGTCAGCTCTTACCTCTTTGAGCCTCTGTTTTCTTGTCTGAAAAACAGAAAGAATATGACACGCCTCCCAGGAGGATTAAATGAGGTAAAGTATTTGAAAGTTCCCAATGACATGTCTGACACATAGTAGGTAATCAAGAAATGGTTGGTACGGTTGGGCTCAGCTCAGATGCCAGCTCCTCAGGAACTCCTTCCCTGACCATCCTATTGAGAGCCGCTCACTTCTTTTATTCTCCATCGAAGCATCGTATTTCCTTTAGAGCATTTAACAGTATGCAATTATCTTGGTTATGTATCTGTTTATTATCTGTCTCTCCTCAACAGAATGAAAGCACCACGTGTGTAGGGAATTAATCCCTCTATTCACTGCTTGATTTCCAGCACTTATTATTGTTACTATAGTTTAATAATAGAGAAGGACAGTTACTCTTCTTGATCTTTGTTAAGCATGTACTCTACCTGTTAACAGGATGTTAAAAGACAATTCATCTGGACTCCAACTGGGTTCCAATGAGATGATAGAAAAATAGTGTTTCCCTCTGGGGGTTGAATGATTGTAAACTGAGAGGGGACATGAGGCAGTCTTTTGGGGGTGTTAAAAATGTTCTACATTTCAAACTAGGCAATGGCTATATCAAACTTTTTTAAAAGGTTAAGCTGTACATTTATGGTTAGTGCACTTTATACACTATATTGTATGCATATTATAGTTTGATTTTAAAAAGCGTGGTCCACCAACTTCAGCAGGTAGTGGGGAGAAGAGGAAATCCAAAGCTGGTCACTCAAATGCCAACTTAACATAACTTGGCAACAAGGTAAAGGCTGGAGTGGGATGGTAGCCAACTGGAAGTGATCCCAGGGCCCTTGGAGGATGGGATCTAAATGAAAGCCTGGAAAATCAACCACTTTCTGAAAAGTTAGAAGCATTTGGCTTGTTTATTCCCCCCAAAAAGACTAGATTGGAAGGAAATATAATGGAACTCAAGTATTTTATTTTGCGACAGCAGTTTGGGCCCAAGGTAGATCTTCCTAACAAAGGAGGTAAAGGAAGCTGAGACATTCCTGTCCCTGGGAAGTTTAAAACTTTGTTGGCCAGCGACTGTCCCCAGCATGGCCTAGTCTGGGAGTAGGAGACAGAGAAACAAACTCCAGCTGCCCCTCTCATGACTAAGGACTCTGGTTAGCCCAGCATGTTCTGGGCCAGCTGCAGAACACTGATTAATTAGCCAAAGAGTGCCATCTCTGATCTGCACTAAGCTTTTTATGTTGTACTGTCACTGCCACCAACCACAGCTTAATTAAATCCGGAGCTTAATTACCACAGTGCACTGCTGCCATCAGTCTCTTCCTGATGAGTTTATCTTGGCTTCTGGAAGGAATGTGGGGTGACAGTGTGTCAGGAGGAGAGGAGAGTCTAAAGAAGCCTGAAGCATGGAACCTGAACTTTGGTGATTTGCAGATATGAGGGTTGGGCTGATGGAGGGATCAGCTACAGGACTAAGCACCTGACCTCAAAGAGCTCACAATTTATTGGAGAGTTAAGACCTCCCACCTACGAGACAGCACAGGGCAGAGTGAGGTGAGCTCCCAAATATCCCAGCAACTGAGAGGGGCAGAGGAGAATCAGAAGCTTCATGGAGAGGAATTTCAAAGGAAGAACAGGATTAGACAGAAAAACAGGCAGGGCAAAGTGCCTAGTGAAGGTATGAGCATGAATAAAAGTGTGGAGGTAACAATGAGAACCTGCACATCACTCCTGAAGATGTGGTCCTGCCTTCCACTTCAGGTGTGCCTCTCTACTCCATCCCTCACACTCCGCTCCAGCCAGAGTGTAAAACATTCTTCCCACTCACTATATACCTGGCTAAGTTCTATTCCTTCAGTTCTCAATTTTAACATTTTTCTAAGATCGCCAAGAAGCTTTGATGACACAGCCCCATTTCCCCCAAGCCTTGGACAGGTGTCCATTTTCAAGAAGGCTCCCATAACGTTTTCCCCCATTAAATTTTGTATCATTGTGTAATTATTCATTTGTCGGAATCCTCTGCTGGACTGTAATTCTTTTGAGGCTAGAAACAGTAATTTGTTCACCAGTATGTCCCTAAGAACCAGCATAGGGCAAGCAAACTGAGGATGATTGGAGGGGCTGGGGCTGGAAGGGCGGGGAGGAATCTCTCACGTTCCTCTCGGTTCTCAGCCATGAGTTTCTGGAGAAGGACAAGGGAATTATCATTAAGTGTCAAAAGATACAAATGTGCCCGTAATTTGATCCGTCTTATACTCTCACAGGAAGCAAAGTGGGGGAACACAAAACAAGCTCAGATCTCCTCCCCATCTCCCCGAGAACAAAGTGATGCCACGGTTGTCTCCAGGCACGCCCAGGAACTATTTGAGGGACTGTGAGGCGGAGGGTTACTAACCGGGACTATAAGCAGTAACCCTCCGCTCGGGCCTTGTACTCGTGGCGGTGGCTTCTCAACCACCAGGGGGCGGAATCGCACCGCAACCAGGAGGACCTTGGCGGTTTTCAACCAACGAGGAGGGGCCGCACACAAGTCTGGGAATTACAGCCCCAGGGTTGTAGTGTGCATCTTGCGCGGTGCACCTCGGGAGTTATAGTTCCGGGCAGAGAGGCGGAAAATGCTTTTAAGCGCTGATGTTGAGTTCTGGAAACTACGACTACCGAAGCGCTAGAGGCTCCTGGGCAGTTTTTTGTTTCCGTCGAGTTGACCGGCTGGGCTGCTTCTGAGGCGTTAACTTGGCTGGGTAAGTTTGTTTGGAGAAAGCTTCTATTCTGAACTGAGGTGTCTGCGGACTTTTTCAAATTCCAGCCTGGTTTGGGTGCTCCTCGTCTCAGTTCCAGAAACTCCACGTTAGTCTTTCAACCTTTCTGTTTCCTAGTGAGACGCCTCCAGTATCCAGCCGCACCCTTAATTCTCCCGCTGTCGTCTTGCGCTCTCACTCTGGCACCCCTGGAATGCCACCCTCGCTCTCGCCTGAGCCCTGAGCCCACAGCATCGCCTCTCTGAAACCTGGGATTCTTTGTGCTCCACACCTCCGATGTGCTTCACTCTTACCCTCACTTTCCTGTTTCTCATGTTAGTTTGTGGAAGAAGGGTCGACATTCCTTCTTCCCAATCCACGGAAGAGCCCAGGGCCTGAAGTTAGCCGACCCGGCCTTTATTCCAGCTCTGCAGCCCTCTCGGTGTGTGACCTAGGGCAAAACTTAAAGCCTCTCTGGGACTCACTCTCTTCATGTACAAAATGGAGATGACAGTTGCTCTCGCGGTCTTAGGTTGGGGCTGTGTTGTGGAGCCAATATGCTAATATGTGTGAGAAAGTACTCTATAAACTGTGAAGCCTCCACAAGCGAGAGAGATTGTTTTTACTATAATTATTAATGCTGTGGAATACTGTCATCTTGGCTTCTTTTATAGCTCTGCCTCCTTGTTGCTCAAACTGGCCCCTTAAGCACTTGGTGTCTCCATTCTCTAAGAACAGGATATTTCCTCACTTCCCCAGAGACCAAAGTTTACAGAGCTTTGTCTGAAAGGAAGCCCCAGAGAATTGCTTATCTTGGACTCTGTCCTGAAATAGCCAGTGATGAAAACTCCAGCAGCTGGCAGAAGGGTGGTTCCTGCTCACTGGAAACAAGGCCCCAGCAGGAGATGAACAGCTGCAGTGTAAGCCCTATTCATTCCCTCTGGACTCTTTTGGGCCTGTTTAGTAGACTCTGGTTTTGGTAGGGGTGTGTCAGACCCAAAAAGTCTGGGAGGAAAGAAACCGTTTTGTCAAAAGGTTTCATCCAGAAAACCAGAAAAATCCAGGGTAGAGGGAAAAAATTTTTTTTTGGCTGTGTATGATAAAAGAGAAACATACCATTGTTAATTAATTCCTAATATTTTGTGAGCACTTAAAGTGTACCAGGCCCTAGGCAATATCAATTTTCTTATTAAATTTCACTTATGATGTGTCCTCATTTTACTTATAAAGGAGCTTAGGCTCAGAGAGGTCATGTAGTTAGTTATAGTTCTAGTGCCTTCTGTATGTCAGGTACTTTGCATACATTCATTTAATCTTCATCAACTTCATGAGTGATTATTATTTTTTATCATGTGAGAAATTTTCAGAGGCTTAGAATTGAAGGAGCTTCCTCAAGATCACACAGCCAACTGAGCAGTAGAGAAGGAATTCAGACTGTCACCAAGGCCTTTCTTTTCCCACTATACCACATAACCTAATTTTTAGATTAAGAAGACAGGGATTAAAGAATTGAGAGTGTTTAAATCAAAGCCAAATAAACATTTATTGGGTCCCTACTATGTGGGGAAAGAATGAGGATAGATGCTTTGACCTACAAAGAAATATAAAACGCAGTCTACCTCTGTAGTATATCTGAAGACATAAGTGTATAAAAAATTAAATAACATTCATTGATAAATTGATTATTGAGACCGATTATATGCAAGGCACTACATTAAGCCTAGTAACTGACAGGAACATGCCTCTAGGTGGCCATAGGGATTAAACCAAGTGATATCATAGTCATTATCATTTCATTAATTTAAACATGGTGGACTGAAACACCATATAAACCCAGTAGAGGTTTTTTGCATACACACGTGTCTGAATAAAAGAAAAGTCCTGTGTACCATCTGGACCACAGGTTCTCGAACCTTGGGGATAGGAAAGTTTGGGAAGCTTTGTAAACCAATTGACCTCTGAGAATGGGGACCCTAAAATCTTTATTTGGAAAAATTTTCCAGGTGATTGTGTTGATAGGTTCAGGAACCTCTGTTGTAGATTCTGCTTGGACCACTTATTATAGGCAAGTCACTGATTGAAAACTGCTAGAATAGGTACTAATTCAAGAGCTGTCTTGACGCAGCCTGTGATTGGCTATCAGGTGAGGGATGCAGACAGTACTTAAGAGTTGAGCGGAGGGAAGGTTGAAATCACTGAGGATCAGAGATTGCACTGGGCTTTGATGGGCGGGGCAGGTTTGGATACGTGGAGAGGCTTCTAGACAGGCACCACCATGAATTGTATAGGTGAATCAAAGAAGGTAGAGACACCTGGGCTGATTTCCTTGGAGAGTTCCATGGCATTTATTAGAAATGACTCTGGATGCTCTGGGTCGATGTTTCTTAGTAAAATTTGAAAGTTAGATTGGATTTTTCTGTCTCTCCATTCTACTTGGGTATCAGTCAATGTGAGCCCAGGGAATGCAGATTCATATTCATGTTAGACTCAGTCTGGCCAATTAGCTTCTTCAATTTTATTTATTTCCACACTTAGTTTACTTGCTGACTTTTCTGAGAAATTTTCCAAGACTAGAGAGTTCTGCTCCCCTTCTGTTTGGCCGTTTTTGTGCCCCATTATCCTGATTCCTAGCCCATGCCGTGTTCTCTATTCAGGTTAAGACCAAAATCTCTTCCTATAAGAAGCTACTATCATTCTGATCACCCAGTCCTGAAACCTGACTCATCTTTGGCTCTTTCCTCTCCCTTGACTCCCCACATAGATGCCAAATCCTATTGCTTCTACTTTTCACTCAATCAACAAATATCTCCTGGATACTTACTAAGGGCCAGGTACTGCACTAGGTACTTTAAATGCATTATTTCGTTTTATCTCCATAGCAATTCTATGAGGATGGGAAGCATTCCCATTGTACAGTTGGGGAATCGGGCTTGGAGAGAGCAGATAAATTGCCCAGGGTAAGAAAGCTAGATAATGAAGGAGCTGGGCCTTAAACTTGGGACTTTCAGACTTAATATCTTTCATGTCTACAATAGATTCCAACTTCTTAGTCTAGCAGTTGAAGGAGTGCCACCCTCCAAATCTGGTCATCTCTTCCTTTTCTCACCTTGCACCCATCATGAACTACTCAAGGTTTCTCAAGTGTGCTTTCTTACCTGTATGCCTTTGCTTACACACTTTCTTCTACTTGAAAGTCAATTTCTGCACATTCTCTTGCCCTCCACTTCCAAGCTAAAGGAGCTCTTTCTTCTCGAACTCCCACAGTATTTTGCCAGACCCTCTTTTATGGCAGTTAGAACTGACACGTGGGTGGCGTGTTTTGTGTCCCCTCCCCCCACCTGTCATAGGTCCTCGTGCATTTAACCTCAAGGGGAAAAGGTCAGGGTCTGAGACAAAGCAGCCTGCATTCAACTTCACTTTGGCTAAATGGTCCACTGACTGCATCAGGAGCTTAGCTTTAAAAAAAAAGAGAGAATTGGGTTTATTTTTAAATTTGCTCAGAGAAGCAAAATGAAACAGTCTGTAGTAGAAAGAGTATCACTTACTATCTTCCAAGTTAAATAGAATGACATTAGGATTATCAGTAGTCTTGAGTTTTCCATTAGACCAGACAATTAGAAGTTGGCAATGAGGAGATCTAGGTGTAAAGGTAGTTCTGCTGGTAACCTTGAGCAACTCACCTAACCTCTTAGGACCTTGACTTCTTCATTAGTAAATCATATTTAAGTATCGGGCTGGTGTGGGTTGGTGCAGGGGATAGTTTTGTGGCGAAGTGATATCTAAGGTCCCTTGTTGCCCAGACATGCTTTGACTTGAACTCTCTGATCCATCCCAGAGCATCTTAAAGAAAGCAGAATCATGTAATGACTACACATGTGGGTTTAGGACTCAGTATATCAGTTTAGATGCTTCTGGTTCAGGCAATAGAGATCTAAACCCAGTTGGTTTAAGCAAAAAAAGAAGGTTTATTGACTCATGTAACTAGAAGGTCTAGGAGTGGGTCAGGTTTCAAGTACAGTCTAATCCAGACATTCTTAATGCTTCACAAATATGACTCCATTTCTCTGTGAGTCTCTAAGCTCTGCCATCCTCCACAGGTAGCTTCATCCACAAGGTAGCAAAGTGGCTGCAACAGTTCAAAGCTTCATACCTGCACATCACTCTAGTTCAAAACAAGAAGTTTTCCACTTCAACCAGCAAACTGAAGTCCTGGGCTTTACTCTGGTTGGACCAGCTTATGTCGTGAACCTACTGTTCATTGAAATACTGACAGAGATGCCAAGGGCTGATTGGCACAGGTCATTTGAGGCCCAAATCTAGAGGTTAAGGAAGTGTCAGCCCCACTTAAATCACAAGGCTTCTGCATCAAAGGGCAAGATAGAACGGATTTCAAGAAGTTTGGCCACATTCTCCATGACAACATTGCCCACAGTCAGATTCTGTCTCTCCTAGTTGTACATTCTTGGGTAAATTACCTAACTTTATTAAGCAACAGTTCCTCATTTGTAAGATGAGATAACAATACACATCCCAGAGGATTGTTGTAAGGATCCAATTAAATAATATGTGTATGTGGAGCACTTGGTGTAGTTCCTGGCAGAGTCAGTGTGCTGCTGCTACTGCTGGTGGTGCTGGTGATGTGATTGAAGAGGGGTGGAGAGAAATGGCATTGGCCCCAGTTTAAGAAGCAGCCAAGTTACAGGCCTATTTTCCAGTCAGAGCATGCACACCTGCCACGCTGAAGGCTCCTGTTTCATCAACTGCCCATGTCATACTCTTACCTATCTCTGCCCCTTTCTGCTCTTACGTCCTTTCTAGAAATGCTTTCCTTCTTCTCCCCTGTCCCTAAATCTTTCTCGTATTTCAAGGCCCAGCATAAGTGCCACTATCTCTGCCCCTTTCTGCTCTTACGTCCTTTCTAGAAATGCTTTCCTTCTTCTCCCCTGTCCCTAAATCTTTCTCGTATTTCAAGGCCCAGCATAAGTGCCACTATCTCTGCTCCTTTCTGCTCTTACGTCCTTTCTAGAAATGCTTTCCTTCTTCTCCCCTGTCCCTAAATCTTTCTCGTATTTCAAGGCCCAGCATAAGTGCCACTCTTGTAGTTAATAGTTTAGGTCAGTGATTTTGTATGTCTATAACTGTCTCTCCATGAGCAGGATCAGTGAGACTTAAGAACTCAGGTCTGGATTAGATAGACATGAGTTTGCCACTGGTAAGCAGTGTGAGTTGGGAAAGTTATTCAGCCTCTTCGTGCCTTAGTTTTCTCATCTGTACAAACAGTGTCTTAACAGTACCTTCTTCAGACGGTTGTAGAGGGAATGAAATGATGCTGCATGGGTAAAGTGTTTAGTTCAGTGCTGATACAGAGTAAATAACGGGTGTTAGTACTTATCGTCATTCCTAGCTTCATGAGGACAAGGTCTGTGTTATACTCTTTGCAGCAGTTACTGCTGTGCTGGGCACATCGTAGGTGCTGAGTAAACACTTGTTAGTGGTTTTGAGGAGTATGGAAGCTCTCTTTCCTTTTTGTGACCGTCTCCTCACCTCTCCACCACCACCAACAGAAAAAGCAGCCCCTAAACCTTAGTGAAGTCAATGTAGCAAGTGGATGATGTGGAAGATTGAATGAGTCACTGGCAGGGAGGATGCAGTGATGAGGGGTGGACGGGGGTGGCAGATGACATGAATAAGCAACAGGAAGCTGGGAGGAAACCAGCAAGAGGCTGTTCTGTGTTCCACCCTCCAGCCTTCAAGTTCAGCTGCGGCCCAAGTTGTCGTTCACTTCAGCTGGTGATGAAATGGGGGTCAGCCAGTCCGTGGGCTTTCCGCCTGTCTCAGGACCCCACCTCGTGGGCTGTGGGGATGTGATGGAGGGTCAGAGTCTCCAGGTAAGTGTCTCCAGCACATCTTCACTGCTTCTGTCTGCACCACTATCAGTAGCGAGTATGATGGTGCAATTCCAGGTGGGGGAACTAAGTTAGAGCTAGTTCAGATTTGGTTATAGACCCCCCAGGTCTCGTTTTCCTGACCTTTTTTCTTCCTCTTTCCAATTAAAAACATCTCAATAGACAAGAGATGCTGAGTTCTTTTTGCAGCTAGGAGGAGATGGGGGCTCTCAGATGTCTTGAGAGCAGGTGCCTGATCCTCGAAAGGATTTGAATCTCATCCTAATCTGAGCGTATGAAAGAAAGAGCAGTGGACCATTGACTTTTGACTCCCTGACCTGGGTAGGAAGACAGTCTCTGTTTCCCTTCTCCTGCCTTCGTCTGTTTTTCCCCTCCACTCTGGTTCAGGACTTTTCCTCCATTGGTTCCTAGGTTATTCTCTGGTGGCCCTTGAACTCCCCCTCTCCCCCGTGAGAGGCACCTACTTCCTGGTAACATCTCAGCTACTGCCATGTAAAGTGAGTGTGCCACTGCTTCCCAAGGGCCATCCGGGAGGATTGGCCTGGCTGACCCATGGATACCAGCACATTCAGCACAAGGGCTCATTTCTTGCTCCTGGGACTCCTCCAGGCCTGGACTCAGGGCCAGGTTTAAATCTTTAAGTGTCCCAAGTACTGGAAATATTTTAGTGCCCCTCAGATATAATTCAAAATACAGTTGGCTGTTTGAAATAACATAAGCCTTACATGTATGCTAAACATAAAATTGCTGCTTTCTAGATTTTTCTGAATGTGGAATTCAGGTATATGAATTGAAGCTAAAGTTTCCCTGTTTTGGTGCTTTGCTGGTACCCCAAAACCTGCTGAGTGTGTCTGTTGGGAAATCTGTCTGTGCTGGGGCTTCTTGCTCTGAGCAGCTGCTCTCTTTTCTTTCTTACAGGGGAGCTTCTTTCGACTCTTCTATCCCTGCCAAGAGGCAGAGATCACTGAGCAGCCCCTGTGGATTCCCCGCTATGAGTACTGCACTGGCCTGGCTAATTACCTGAAGATTAATAAGCGCTGGGGGGCTTTGCTGTTCAACCTGGCTGTGGGTAAGGACTGGCCTCAGGCCTAGATGCTCTCCCAGTTGCTTGGTTATGTTCCTAGGAGATCCCCCAGCAGACACTTACCTGATAGTTTGCGTTGTCTATCCCTTTTGTAGTGGGGCATCCATTAGCCAGTGTGGGATGGAGAGTTGGAGAGAATTACCTGTGTAAGAGCTTTGATTGTAGTTAGACTGTCCTGGATTTGAATCCAGACTTTATAATTTACTAGCTGTGGGACTTGGGCAAGTTATTTAACCTGTCTGAAGATCTACCTCTGCAAGGTTGTAGTGTGGGATGTATAAAAAACGTGCGCTCCAGTGCAGTGCTTGGGGTATAGAATATGTTCCATAAATGGTGCCTATTACTCATTTACTCAGCATGTATTAGTGCCAGCTGTAGTGTAGATCAAAGAAACATTCTTAACTACCAAGGAGCACAACATCTCCTGCAGTTGCTCCCCTTGCTCTCCCCTCTTCTGAATCAGATCACATTGAATCATCCATTTCCCCCAAAGGCCCTACCATTAGGAACTCTACTCACTGCTTGGCATCTCAGGGATTTATCCAGTAGGTTGTTCAGTACTTCCCCCTTGGATTTCTCTTCCCATTTTCTGTTGTGTTCAGGCTCCCTAGGGGAGAGAAAGGGTAAGGACAGGTGATTGATTGTCCTGGGCTACTTGTGCAAAGGTGGTTTTCCTGAGAGGAGGGCTGCATGTCCCCGCTATGCCTGTCCCTTGGCTGCCCTTGGGATTATAGTTTTGGGGCAGCTGGAGATTCTATAGCCCATGTCTCTGCTAGGATCTTGTCGCCTGCCTGTTCACTGGAATGGCCCCTTTAAGACAAAGGACTCTGGATATCCCTTGATCATCTTCTCTCATGGCCTGGGAGCCTTCAGGTAAGAGCTGCTCTCTGCAGACTTTGTCAAATTTTTGGCCTTGCCTGGTGGCAGCTGCTGAGTCTTAACTTATTCTCAAAGGGCAGAGAGACACATATTTCCATCTGCCATCTGTCTTATCTACCATCTGCTTCATCCCCAAGCACTGGGTCCACCTTTTCTAGAAGGCCCTTCCCAAACCCCTTTCACCTGATGGAGCCAGCAGCAGGCTTCGCATCCTTCACTTCTCACATTCCAGCATTTCTATAGATAACATGCTCTTAGCTTTCTTCCTCCGTAACAGCCCAGAAGTACTAGAAGGAGCTTGAGCCTTATGGTCAGAGAGTTGTTTATTCAACACACTTTGAGGGCACCTCCTCCTGGGGCACTGTCGTAGTGGTGAGTCACACAGACTTGCCCCCTGCTCTCGTGGCGCTCGCAGCCTCAGTTGTAAATCTCCGCTGTAACACTGTGCTCTGTGTGAGCTTGGGACTGTGGGAGAACTCTCGAACCTGGAATTTCCTCATCTGTCAAATGGGATGCCATTTGCACAGGGTGATTTGTGAGGACTCAGTTAGACGTGTACTTAGTAGGTACACACTCATACCAGTGCTCCCCTCTGTCTCTACGTGAAGGATCATGGAACAGTGGACTGTGAGATCTCTCACCGGACTTCAGGAAATGCTGGCCTAAATTTTTTCAGTATCCATTCAGAATTCTCCCTATGAGTTCTGATTTCTACACCTTGGAGTGTTATTTAGCTTAATAGCTGCGGTACGTGTGTTTCCGTTTAAGCTTGTGAATGTTCTCTGTCTGTTCATTCATTAACATATAAGTTTAGTTTATGTCCTAGAGTGTTACATGTTTGAAAGGCATCTGTTTTTGCCTTTTCACCCCCTCACCCCAAATCATTGTCTACACTACCCAGGGAGATCTGTTTTAAAACCAAATATGATATTGTCATTCCAGCACCTAGAATAGTGGCTGGCATATTGTAGGTGCTCAGTAAATACTTGTTGAATGAATGAATGAATGAATGTCATTTCCATACCAAAATCTTTTTAATAGTCCTTTGAATTTAATTCAGCTCTTGTCAGGGTCTTACCTGAATGCAAGTCTAAGACAAAGTTTCCAGCCTCATTGCTTGCTGCTTGCCCTCCTCCAGCTCTCCAGACAAACAGCCCTAAAGGCAAGGTGTTAGTTTCTGCCTCAGGGTTTTCATCTGTGCTGTGCTTTGCTGCTGTTCTCTTTGCCTGGAATATTTGCTGTTCTACTCCTCTCTTCCCCTCCCCCTTTTCGTCTTTTGCCTAGCTAATTCCAGATTGCCTTCAAGGTCTTAGTTTGAGTGTCACTTTCTTAGGGACACCCATCCTAACCCTTATATTATATTAGATTAAGTTTTCCAGTTGTGTGCTTTCGTAAGACAATCTGTACTTCCCAGCACTTAACATAATTGTAATGAATTAATTATTTGTGTGATTATTCTTTTTTTTTCAATTTTAGAACATTTTAATCACCCTAAAAAGGAAACTTTAGCAATCACTTCCAATTCTCCTCCAAACTTCCACCTTCCCACCCCCACCCCAGCCCTTGGCAATCATTAATCTGCTTTCTATCTCTGTGGATTTACCTATTCTGTACATTTGCATAAATGGAATAATACAATATGTGATATTTTATAACTAGCTTCTTTCACCTAGCATAATGTTTTCAGGGTCCATCCATATTGTTGCAGATAACAGAACTTCGTTTCTTTTTGTTGACGAATAATATTCCAGTGTATGGATATATTACATTTTATTTATCTGCTCATCAGTTGATGGATGTTTGGGTTTGTGTGATTATCCTTTAATGTATTTTTTTCTACTAGATTGTAAGCTCCATGAAGACAGAGACCTTATCTGTCTTCTGTCTTTCCCAGTGCCTAGGACATTACTTGGAAAATAGTTTCCCAATAAATATTTATGTTTTGCTAGCTTCTATTCATTCAGCAAATGTCTGTTGAGCACCTGCTCTGTGCCAGCCTGTTGGCGTGAGAAGAAGATGGGACATATAGAGAGAAACAAATCAAGGAATTTACATCCACCACAGGAGACTGAATATGGATTCATGTAACTATAGGCCATGGCAGAAAGTAGAGGGCACATTGTGGTGATGGTGCTAGAAAGGCAGCAAGATGGTTTTCAGTATTGCTTTCTTATTCAGTAAATTTAGTTACCTGCCATGTGCCAGGGCCTATGCTGGGGTTGAATATTCAGTAGTGAATAAGATGGAGCCCCTGCTTTCAGACTGTATTCTAGTTGGGAAAAGAAGCTAAGGTATATCCTTTCCTAAGCTCACAGGTATCTTACAGAAAGAGCAGGCGAGTACATGACTTTAGAGTGGCCTTTATGGTCTAAGAATCTGTATTGAGACTTCATATCTCAACAGACCTGGCTGAGCCAGTTATAAATACTCTAATCATTAACCAGAGTGAAATTCCAAGAAAAAGGGCAGGAAGGTAAAGGGATATGGTTTCTTCTCGTTGTATCTTACGGCAAATTCAGCACCTGAAATCCTTCCCATGGGTCACGGACCTATGCCTTCCCATCCCAGGGAAGAGTATGTGTATTTAAATATTACCTACCTGTTTGCAGTGTGCCTTTGTCTCCTTTGGTTCCCACATAGTCCTGTGAGGTAGATGGGGTGGAAGCATATTTCACAGATGAACAAACCAGCTCTGAAAGGCAGACTTGCCCAAGGCTACAGTTTGAACTGGGAAGGGATCAGAAATCTCTCTGGCTTTCAAGTCCAGTTCATTGCCTCCCCAAGAGAAGTGGGAGAAGGTGAAAAGAAACTTAAGAAACTGACCTTCCTGAATCAATTAGGATACAAGCAAGTTATATTTAACAGAACTCCAAACAATAGGGACCTAAATAATATAAAGTTAATTTTTCACTCAGATTTTTTAAAAAGCTAGAGGTAGAGCTGATATTGTAGTTCCACAACGTTACCAGAAAACCAGATTATAAATCTTGCTGTGCACACGTGGCTTCTATTTCTAAAGATGTCTCATGATCCAGGGTGGCTACTTTAGCTCTAGCCATTACATCCACAGTCCATGCAACAGGAAGAGAGAACTCTCCTGAAATTTTTATATAACACGACTGCTTACATCACATTGACTAGAGCTGCTCTGTCCATTATGGTAGCTTCTAGCCACATGTGGCTATTGAACATTTGAAATATGGCTGGGCCAACTGAGATGTGCTGTAAGTATAAAACACACATTGCATTTCAAAGACTACATATGAAAAAGAAAGAATGTAATAAAATATTTCATTAATTTAAAAATATCAATTATTTGTTAAAATGATAATGTTTTGGCTATACTGGATTAAATAAAATATATTATTAAAGTTAATTCTACTTGTTTCTTTTCAATGTATCTATTGAAAAAAATGTTTAATTACTTATGAGGGTGCTGTTATGATTCTGTGGCTGGGCTAAAAACCACACAGACAAACTTGGCTGCAGAGAGGCTGAGAAATATATTTTGATGGCATGACAATGTCTTCAGCTGCAAATGAGATTCTGTTATTACAGAACAAGGGAAAAATAGGTGTTGGAGTAGACAATTAGTACCTGCTGTATTTCTTTTTTCTGGAAGATTGGAGGGCAGACTGAAAAAACCCACGTGCTAAATCACAGGTAGAGATTTACATGTTAAAGAAATAGCCAGAGTCTCTGTCCTCAAGGAGGTTGCCAACTAATTTGGGACACATACAATGTATAGACAATAAAGATGCAATTGTTTGAAGTAGCCAAACTGTATTGGGGTGGGGGGCATGGAGATGAGTCAGTTTCTTGGGTTGAAAAACACAATGGATCAATTTGCATATGCTTCCTGGAGGAGGACACTTGGATCTTGGATAGAGAAGGGGTGTGCTGGCTGGAAAAAGCTCCTTGAGAAGCCCTTGAGAAGGGCTGCTCCAAATGAAACTTCCTCCATTCAGTCTTTTGAGATGGCTACTAGTAGAGCGTGGTCGGATGGGGGGCTAAGGGCAGGCCATTCTTTTGATCACTTCTCTTGGTTCCTTCCTGGATCTCTAGGACACTGTATTCAGCCTTCTGCATGGAGCTGGCCTCTCGTGGCTTTGTGGTTGCTGTCCCAGAGCACAGGTGAAAGATAACAGTCTGACGAACTATCATGGATTGGGTGATACAGGCTCGTCCCCTGTCGATATATTATTTCTAATCCTCACAACACTATGCAGGGTAGGGATTATATCCATTTTAAAGGTGAAGAAACCAAGGTTCAAAGATGTTAAATAACTTGCTAAAAGTGACACAGCTGAGATGGGATTCAAACCCAGTCAGTCTCCCAAATCCATGTTTTTTCCTACTCTCCTATGTGTGTCCCCAGATCTTTGACCCTATTAGAGTGTCTTGGCTGAAAAGGAGGATTTGGTAAAGGGAAGAAATAAGTCCAGGTTTTTCTGGTTTCTTTCTGGTGGCACATGTCCTGCAGGGATGGGTCAGCTGCAGCCACCTGTTTCTGCAAGCAGGCCCCAGAGGAGAACCAGCCCAACGGTGAGTCACTGGAGGAGGAATGGATCCCCCACCGTCAAATTGAGGAAGGGGAGAAGGAATTCCATGTTCGAAACTGCCAGGTAGGCTTGTGCCAGTAGGGCTGTGAGGAGTTACTAAGCCTGCCTGCCCTAAACTACACTTACTAAGAAGACCTTGAACTAACCTCTCTTGAAATCTCAATCATAGTGGATCTGAGCTTGCCACATCAGAGAAATGGGGTATTAATTAAGACTCTTACAATTTCAAGTGACAGAAACCCCACTTACTCTTGTAAGGCAAAAAGGAGAATTGGTTGGCTTATATAAGCAATGTAGGCAGGGCAGGACCACTGGAACCAGCAATCATCGGAACTTGTTTTTCACTCTTAACTCTGTCCCTCTGTTGGTTCGTCTCTTCTGCTAACTGGCTTACCTAATGAGGTGGCGTATGTTTGTCTTCACCATCTGAGAGAATAGGGCTGTTTTGGAGTTGTCCCCCATTTCTGCCCCATGCTGCAATATGAGAAATCCTGGATAGAGACTCCTAAGCTGGGGAGAAGTACCAAAATGTGAAGTTCCCATCAGAGATAACATTGCTAGATTTTTTTGTAGGGGGGTGGCGAGCCTCAAAAGTCAGGGTTAACAGAAGTAGGGATGGGTAAGGGCTAGGCAAGACAAAAACATGGACCTGTTCTATAAGAGGGAAGGTAGAATCCAGTACTAGGTTGATAGCAGGAACACTTTACATCCTTTTGCTTTCAAAATGCTTTCATGTACCACACTGTACCCCCTGTATTCCATGGGTGGATAGGTAGGTGGGGCACGGCTGCCTCCATTGTGCTGCTAGGTGGTGCTTATGTGAGTGGCTGTGAGGGAGCTGGGCTTTTCTCTGGATGTGGGGCCTGTGGTGCTGCTGAGATGTGGGTGGGCACACTGTCCCTGCATTATCCTTGGCTCTGTGGTGGAGTGAGGTTCCCACTGGATGATTGTGCAGTACTCCAGCTCCCACTGGGACTGTCTCTGTTGCAGGTGCATCAGAGGGTAAACGAGTGTATGAAGGTGTTGAGGATCCTGCGAGAGGTCACTGCTGGCCAGACCGTCCTCAACATCTTGCCTGGCGGATTGGATCTGATGACCTTGAAGGTATGGTTGCAACTGGTATGACGTGGAGCTTATTTTATTCATCAAGACTTTCTTGGTTACAAATAACAGAAACCTAACTCACTAGTTTAAACTAGAAGAGAATTTATTGGTTCAAGTAAGTAGGAAGACCAAAGGCAGATTGGCTTTAGGCCAGTATAGCTAGATCCAGGGTCTCAAACATTGTCATCAAAGCTCTGGCACTCTCCCTTCTCCTGGCTCAGTTCCACTCTGTGTACCTGGACTTCATTCTCATCAGACTCTTTCCATTAGGCAAGAAAGGTGCTTGCTGGCATACCAAGCCTGCATTTCAACTCAGCTCTAGATTTAAAAGGAAAAGAGACTGTCTTAGCTTCCATTAACCTGGGAAGACTGTGGCCCTGCTTGGCTCAGATGCCCATTCCAGGCCAGTCGCTGTGCCGGAGGGATAGAGTATTCTGATTGGCTTGTAAGTGCCCTATACACCCACTTCTAGAGGTCAAGGGAACGTGAGCACCAGGACTGGCAGCCCCACAGGGCCACATGGATGAGGCAGAGAAGGCTTGTTCCCCAAGGAAGCGCTATCAAGTTGCAAACAACCTATGACTACTGCAGGCTAATTCCTTCCTTTAAGGGAATCCTAAGAACCCCCAGAGGGATGGAAACTGTCCTGGCTATGGAATTTGGTGCCTGTGAAGGTACATTTTTCTCTTTCACCCAGTCTCTCTCCCTGTAATTTCATTAGTAGCTCAGAGAGAACCAAAAGTAGCTTGTTTAGAGAACCAAGAAATCACACAAAAGCATGAAGGAAAAAGAAACAGAGTTATTGTTTTTTTTTTGAACATTTTGATGTTTGTTTTTCCAGTTCTTTTATAATACATCTGCTTTTATATGTACTTATATATATAATATATATACATTTGAAAAATAATAATGTTATTATGTAATACAAGCTGTTTTGTGGCCTTTTTCTTTATTTAGCAAAACAGTATTAATGTCTTATGCCAGTTAATATTTTTCTATGGCATGATTTTTAATAGCCATGTAATGTTTCATTTTATGAGTGAGAATTGTATATATGTATAAAATAACAACTACTCTTTTATGAGTACTTCCTATGATGAGGTCTTTACACAAACATATGCAGTAAGCATCATTATCTCTTTACATAGAAAGAAATCAAGGAACAAAGAGGCTTAAGGATATGCCCCAGCTTACACAGCTAAGTAACTGATAGAGTCAAACTTTAAATTGGGCCATTCTGAACCTAAAGCTTGTGCTGTGTGCCTAGGAGCCTCCTTAGAAAATATCTTTTGAAAGTTCTGGTAAAGTCTTACAGGCAGAAGCATCAGCCTTGATGGCCAGTAAGTAAGGCAGAACCTGAAATCGAGAGAGCTTTACCATTTGGTATGTGTCGTCAGTCCCCTCCAGACAAGCAGGACCCAGTCCCTGAAGTTCAGGTCTGTGTGCGTATGTGCCTGAGACAGGCATTGGGAGATGGCAGGCTACGTGTAGTTGGATTAGTTAAGAGGCAGCCTTTTGGAGAAATACAGAATTTAAAAAGCTAAGTAAGTGTTTATCTATCAGATTGAGCAAGATCCAGAAATTGATTACTCCCCCTGTTTGCAAAGTTGTGGGGAAGTAGACTCTGCTCCGTGGCTGGTGTGAGTGCAGGTTGCCCCGTGTAGGGCAGTCTGGCAATAGCTATCCACAGTCCAAATGCATATATTGTTTGACCCAGCAATTTCCAATTCTGGGAATTTATTTTCCACAGACCTGCACACAAGTAACATGATGTATGTACAAAGTTGTTTATTCCAGCATTGTTTATGATAACAAAAGATTAACAGTATCCTAAGTGTTCACCCTTAAGGGAACTGATCTACTAAATTGTGGAACAATGGATGTATGAATTTGAGGAATGGTAATTGCTATATAACACATAAGCCTCAAATTTCAGTGACTTAAAGAGAAATTTATTTCTTTCCAACATGAAGTCCAAAATGGGTGCTTCTGTGCAAGGTCTAACTCAGGGATCCAGGCTCCTTTCATCTTATTACTCTACTCTCTTCCATTTGTGAAACCCAACTTCACCGTGTACATTAAGCCAGGAATGGGAAAGGGCATGGAGGTTTGTACGGAAGGGTTTTTATGGACCAGGCCTGGAAGTGAAGATAGCACTTTCACTTAGATTCTGTCACAAGACGACTATCACTCACATCCAGTCACAAGGCCACATCTAACTGCTGGGAGATACAGTTCAGCTGTGTATCCAGGAAGAGGAATAGATTTCATGATCACTAGTGATCTATACCATGGTGAAATCAAATGTAGCTGTAAACAAGGATAAGGGGGCTCTTTCTGTACTAATATTATTATGCAAAAAAGTAGGATACAGCATCACTTGTGTAAAAGGGGGGAAAGTGTATGTTCATGTTTACCTGTGTAGGCATACATAAGCTCAGCAAAGACACCAGAAACTTGCCTGTTTGTGGGAAGGGAGTGGGCAACTGTGTGGAAAGGGAATGGGGGTAGGCAAGAGACTTCTCTGTATACTCCTGGCTTTAGAGTTATGAGAATATATTAACTGATTTAAAAAGCTGAAGAGGCCTCAACCAAGTTGTTGATCTGAAGGTCGTGAGTAAAGAGGGGCAAAATTTAGATACAAAACCAAGTTGGGGAGAGCAAAGGAGAGCACAGGTTCAGAGTAGAGGCTGGGCAGCAAAGCCTACAGAGATTTCCTGAGCCCCTTAGCAGGCAGCTGCAGTGGCTTTTTATATAACCATGTCCTGAAGGCTTCTGGGGACAACCCGAAATAGATCCTTGCAGAGCATGTTAGAGCTAGCAGACTCGCTCTACTGGAGAAAAGTCAGGACAGGTATCAGAGGAAGTAGAACCTGAGCTGGTTTCGGTACAAGCAGTCCTTGTTTCAGAGCAAAGTGGATGAGCAGCAGGGCCTCCCCCATTCTATCTTTAACTTGTTTCATGTGTCATCCCTCGCGCTGGTCTGGTTGTAAGGCAGGGATGTGGAGGATGACAGGAGTTCTTATTCTTAACCTGCTCTTACACTGATTGGTCATACAATTTCTGTTCATTCATTTATTCATAGATATTTGAATATCTACCCTGGTTCAGATATTATAGGTGGTAAGATGATAAAAATAAAAGATGAAAAACATGGCTTCAGAATTTCTGCCTACAGAAGGCTGTTCAGTCCATAGCCTGACCGGCTGCTCTCCAGTGGGCAAGAGGCTCAGAATAATGTGGTTTTGGAGGGCTTACCCACTGTGTTGTGCTTATACATCATTGTCACACTGTTTCTTCCTCTTGCCCCTGAAGAATTCCTAAAAAACAGTTGTGCATTTCTGACTTGGCTTCCCTCAGGGCAGCATTGACGTGAGCCGGGTGGCTGTAATGGGACATTCATTTGGAGGGGCCACAGCTATTCTGGCTTTGGCCAAGGAGACCCAATTTCGGTGAGTTTCCCAGTGATGCTGCTGTTAGCGCCACACACCACTCATTCGTTCAGCAAGTGTTATGCGCTGGGCACTGTTTGGGGGGCTGGGGATTCAGTGGTGAAGAAGAAAGCAAGGTCTCTTATTTCATGGAATTATGTTATTGTGGGAGGAGACAGACTAGTAAGCAACCTAACAAATAATCAAATCCCCAGCACTCAAGTGCAATGAAAAAAATAAAGTAGGCTGATAAGCTAAAGTATCTGTAGGCTTTTTTGGGAAAGTGACATAACTAAGACTCAAAGGCAAAGAAGCCAACCACGAAAAGGTCTAGGCAGAAGGAACAGTTCATGGCCCTGAGGTGGGAAGAAACTTGCTGTATCAGGATGGGAGGAGTGTAGTGAGTGAGAGGGAGGCGATTCCAGATGTGACCAGAAAGGCCAGATCACTGGGCCTTCTGGCTAGAGTAAGGAAGTTAGATTTTATTCTAAGTGTGATGGGAGACCATCAGTATAGAAGAATCTTAGTTACATTGAAAAACTACTGTGTGAAGAGTGGGTTGTAGCAGGACAGGACTGGGAACAGGAGGCTAGTTAGGGGGAGGCTATTTCAGAGTCAAGGTGAGGGTTAATGGATTTGCATTAGGATGGAGGTAGTGGGATGGAGAGAAGTGAAGGGAGTCAGGATAGATTCTAGAATTTTCAGGACTTAGTGATGTGATGAAGTGAAGGAAAGAGGAATCAGGGTTTTTTATTTGCATATCCATCATTTAAGTGGAAGGTGATTGTCCTTTATTGAGATGGAGGAGACTAGGGGGAGCACTGGTGGGGGGGGGTGGGTAGGATGCTTATCTTAAGTCCTTAGTTTTGTCCTTGGTGACAGAGATTACCGCTAAACAAACTGGCCATGACTTTGAGTTGTGGCACCAAGGAGGCTTTCCCTGACCTCCCTGCCATGTATGCTCTGGGTGACAGTACCTTGTGCAATCAGGGCACTAAGCTGTATTTTGTTACCTTGTCTGTTCTGTCTCCATTGCTATTCTGGGAGCTCCTTGAGAGCAAGAACTGTGTCAGTTATCTTCAGATCCACAGCATAAGTCTGAGCACATAGTAGGTACTTGATGAATTGAATGAAGAAGAATGAGTAAATGAATGAAGTGCCATTCTGTGTCAGCTGCCTGAGAGTAGATCTGAGAGAAGGAGAAGATCTGATCCTTGCTCTTAAGAGAGTTTAAGACCTAGAAGGGTTTTTGGCAAGAGATAAAAGTGATCTCTATCCAAGATCCTAACTGAAGGGTATGGGCCCTGGTTCCCCTTTCTGGCTTTCTGAGCCTTTACCCCACTGAAGGAAGAGCTCTGACTTTTCCCCCACTGTCTAGCTATTCTTGCATGGCAGTTCCAAATGTCTAGTCCTGTTCCAGGTGTGCTGTGGCTCTGGATGCTTGGATGTTTCCTTTGGAACGTGACTTTTACCCCATGGCCCAAGGCCCTATATTCTTCATCAATGCTGAGAAATTCCAGACAATGGACAGTGTCAACTTAATGAAGAAGGTTTGTGCCCAGCATGACCAATCCAGGATCATAACTGTCCTGTGAGTAAACCCCAAGGTCATGATCCCCAGTGTCCGCTCCATTTTTCACTCAGCTGTGGCTCCTTTAATTTCTTCTAAATTATCCAGAAGTTCTACCCTGTAATGGAGTACCTAAATACTTCCTGAATTTCAGAATCTTAATTCCTTAAGAATTTCATATCTGTCCTTCATTTCCACTAGCTCCACCTGCAGTGATTTCTTTACTAGTTTGTATGACTTTATGACAGGATTTGCCTATTGCTTTCTGGGAAAAGGGGATTGTGGGATTGTGTGTTGGAGAGGAAGAAGTGTGGGTCTGGCTGGACTCCAGAAATCTCTAACATCATTTGGAAATTTTATTGAGTCTTTTGAAGAATGTGGATATAATAGACCTTTGACATTCACAAGACAGATTTTTAGAGAGCTTCCTGAATACCTCAATTCAGCTGTCTTCCATAAACCATCTATATTCTGTCTAGGAGAAACCACGTTCTCTTCACTTCTGTCACCAACACTGTCAGGTGGTTTGTTTTCAGGAGCCGTTTTTCACAGAGGGAAAATTTTGAGTGGCTTTAAGAAATGTACTGTATGTGAGAATTGTCTTAGAGCTCCAGGTGCAGGGCTAAAGTCTCACTGACAAGTCTCTGACTTGATCTTGCCCTGTACTTGAGCCTAATAATACACATGCCTCAAGGATCCCAGTCCTATTTCAGCAAAACGGCAAGCCACTACATACCATGGACCTTTGGAATCATTGAGGGGGTTGAAATGCCAGATCCAGAGCCCAAAATGCTAGGGGTCTGCTCAGTAGGCAGCGACTTCTTCCCTTGCTCATCTTGGCCCAGGCTGTCTTCCTTAGGGCCAGCCTCTCCCCTTTCATTTTGATTTCATGGTGGCAGAGGACTGCTTGACAGTTTCCCCAACCAATCAGATCCAGGGTGATTGTGACCTCTGGAGGGATGGGAGGTGAGAGCAGTTGGGAAGGGGTACACAAAAACTGCAGAGTTAACTCTTAACAATGATTATTTCTTAAACTTAGTGCTGGAAACTCAAGTATCCATTATATTATTCTTTATACCTTCTCATGTGCCTTAAATAATATAGTTTAAAGTCAGTTTTTCTGCTTGATATCAAACAAAGGTTAGCATTTAGATTTTCCTTCCCTCGTTGAATTGACTAGTAAATTTAGTTTTGAGTAGTTTAGCTCAAAATCAACCTAGTGAGAATTTCACCTTCAAATTGTGTTTGATGTCAAAGGACTTAAATTCTAATCCAGAAACCCTCTTTTACAAACACTTGCCCTCACTTTTCTGATTATTTAAAAGCTTATTTTTAAAAAGTTTTAAAAATTTATTATTTAAAAAAAGTTATTTCTTTTTCCTGTTTACTTTGTGGTACGGTTCTGAGCTAAAGAAGGAACTGATACGTTCTGTGAATGTGTGAAAGTCACTGAGTAAAAGCTGTGGGGTAATAATTATAGTAATATAGGAATGACAGGTGCTGCAGACCCCGCCTCCTTGCCTGGTCTCCATTCCAGCTGACTCAGCCGTTTCCATATCCAGTCAGGCATGTGGTCTAGGAGTTGAGGCAACTTTGAAGACAGGTACACCTGCTTTCAAATCCTAGCTCCATCCCTTACTAGCTGTGTGACCTTGGGCAGATCATTTCTCTCCTCAGGTTCTGTCAAAGGGAAAATTACTTCCCCTACAAGATTGTTGTGAAAATTAAGTGAGATAATGCACGTAAAGCACCTTGCACGTGGTAGGTGTGTAAACATTTGTGTGCTGTAGCCTCCAGACCCTTACTAGATACTTGTTTTTCTTTTCCTCTAGTGGTTCTGTTCATCGGAGTCTAACTGACTTTGTTTTTGTGACTGGTAGCTGGATTGGTAAATTCTTCCCCAGTCCAGTCCGTGGGAGCTTGGACCCCTATGAAGGTCAGGAGACGATGGTGCGGGCCATGCTGGCCTTCCTGCAGAAGCACCTTGGTAAGGAGAGAACAGGGGCTCATGGGGTAGCCATGGGGTCCCTTAGGTTTCCCTGCACAGTGGTCTATACTGACATGTCTCGAATCAGAGAGATTTATGGCAAAAGGAAAACCTGAGTGAAGGAGAGGGTTACATAGAATTATAGCAGGAACACTTAGCTGAAAGTTTGGAGATCCTGATTCTGTCCCTTACCACCTGAATGACCTTGGCCTCTGCACCTTGATTTTTTCATTGTAAGTGGAATGTTCACCTCTCTCTACTCCACTACCTCTGTCCTAACTCATTATCACTCACCTTATGTATGTTGTGGAGGAGATTATTATGATAGATGGGCTAAATTTTTGAAAGTGCTTTTTTGAAAAAAAAGCCTAGAAGGATGATGACTAATGTCACAAATCACAGGGCAGCCAAGTGGTAAGGCCTGAAGAGGTCTTTGGTCCAGCCTCCCACGCAGAGGAGAGATCCTCTTGTGTCTTCCCTGCTGCGTGGTCGCGCAGCACAGAGAGCGCACTGCTCAGCCCCCTCCATCACTGGAAACTTTGACTGTCAGAACTAATATTCTAGTCAGGCTTTTTTTGGTTACCAGGTCTAGAGATTCACTAATTTGCCTTGAGATAAAAGGGAGTTTGTTTATGAGAGTACACCTGGCCAGGCAAGAAGTAAAAAGTTACAGGGACCGAGGTGGCTTGTAGGACTGGCGTCTCTCTCTTTCTCAGGCTCGGTCTCCCTGTCTCTTCCTCTCATGACATCTCTGTTTCTCTTTGCTCTGGTCTGCATTTTCCTTCTTGCTACTCTGTACTTTTTCCTCTTGCTGATAGCATCTGCTTTGTAGTTTCACTTCCTCATGACTTTCTCATGACCGGTTGGCTTGAACCACTTGTGGCTCGTTCTCTCTCCCTTGTGAGTGCCCACTGTTCACCGCCATATTTTCTTGGATTTCTTAGACCAGATTCCTAAGAGAGACAGCTTGATTGTACCAGTTCATCTTTACCTGCCAAAACACATTGTAGGCCACTGCCCAACCCAAGCCTGGAGCTCTCTTTATCGGATGTGCGTTTCTGATCCAGTCAGAAAGGAGTAGGCTACCGTTATCTTTATCTGCATGAGGCTGATCCCTCAGCGGGTGCTGTGTTTAGGACAGATTCTTTCGGAAGGGAACCAGGCTGGCCTGGATTTCTAAGGTTTGACCCACCTCTAACCTAAGACCAAGATCTGGTTCTTTGTAATTCCTCCCCACTTGCCCTGAGTATCCCCTCAAGAGCTACCTTGGGAAGCCTCAGACTCCTTGCACATGGCAGCTCTTTAGATACTTGAAGTCACCTATGGTGTCCTCTCTGAGTTTTCTGTTCGTTAAGCTAGATGTCTGTGGTACCTCCTCCTGTTCCCTGTGCAGTTCCTTGTGTTGCCATGTTTTACCCACTTTGAATGTGCTGTTTATTAATGTGCTTTTTAACGTGTACTGTCCTGACTTGAACACGACATGCTAGAGATGGTCTGACCCGTGCCTGGTACAGCAGAATTGTCTCTTCTGTGCTCTGGACACCAGACTTCTAGATGGCTTGAATGTATTAACCTTTCCACCAAGTGCTAAAAAAATTTGATTTGGATTGAGTTTGCTTTTAAAACACATCTGTCCTATTATGGCTGTATTGAGTTTTTGAACCTAAATTTGCATTTTAATGTTTATTCCTGTTCGTCTTGCTCATCATGAGCCATTAACTTTAGGGTTAATAAGACCTTGGGGCACCATTCTTACCACCTGGTAGGAGAGAAATGGATCCATGTCTCAAGACTTTAATAGAGTCTGACTACATGATCCTCAGCCCACTCTGTTTCCTCTTAGCCCCCATCTCATTAGGGAAGAGCTACGTATGACAAGGGAGGCCACCTTGGCAAACTGGGCTCCCTTCCTTCAGTAGCAGTATCTATTGAGCTAAGATACTGATCACAGAGAACAGCAGAGGAGGAAGTGGAAGGGAGGAGAGTCTTAGACTCTTACAGGAAGATTGTTGACGACCTCGCTTTATTCCAGGCCTTCCTCTAAGTGCATTATCCTGTGTAACCCTGAAAAGTGGCCCTTTTCAGTGGAAACTTTTATTATTAACTCCATTTTACAGACAAGAATACTAAAGCTTAAAAAATTTAAGTAATTTGCTCAAGGTTATCTGGTTAGTAAGTGGCAAAGCCAGAATGCAACCTAGGCTGTCTGATTTGAAAGCCCAGGTGTTTCGTTGCTGCACTGTTCTGCCAGTGGCTCTCCGGACCCATGGATGCACTGAGTCTTTGGGAGCACAGGGGACAGGCCCCTAATTCTGGCAAGAGGGAAAGGACAGCCGAGAATGGGGGCTCTTTAGACAAAATGATGCTTGTCTTTAACATTAAAGATAAGTAAGTCTCACCAGGCAGGAAAGGGGCAAGGATCTTCTAGACAGAAAGCGCAAAGGCTGGTGTGGGCCTGGTCAGTTTTGAGAAGCTGTGTTTAGTGTATCTGGAGCTCAGAATAGTGAAATGTTGGAAGATAAAGGTAGAGAAGTGGGCAGAAGCCAGATCTCGAAGCCCATGTGTTTGCTGAAATAAGTTTTAATTTTCTTCCGCAGGCTGTGAGAGTCCCTGGTAGGTTCTAATTAGGGGAATGTCATGGTTAGACTTGTGTTTGCAGTCTGGCTGCATCACGGAGGAGGGGCAAGATGGGGCAGGTTGAGAGGCAAAGGGCCCAGGAAGGAGGCTCTTGCAACATCCAAGCATAACAGGTCAGACAGGGTGAAAAAAGGCAAAGGTTCTCTGCCTGGGGTATAGTTTTGCAAAGAGAGAAAAGCTTTCTGGTGGCCATGCAGGACATTGTCACATGGGAAACTAAAATAGGGGGCTCAGCTGAACCTCTCACCACTTCTAAAAAATCCCTCTAAGAGCACATGCTCCACTGACACGGAGACGGCGTTACTTTCTATTAAGAAGATTGGTGCCTCTTTCATATTAACTACATGCTGCTTCTGTCTTCACCTACTCATCCCCCCTCCCACTTTCCCGGAAGACTGTTTCACACCTTCTCCTTTCTCTCCGAACGTCGTAACACCACCTCCCCTATTCTGTCTCTCAGCTGATTAACTTTGCCTCCCCCTTTGCTACGGAAATGGAAGCATTCAGTGCATCCTCAAAATCCCAACACTGCGTCATTACACCTACCTACCTTCTTGCGTGTACTCAGCTTTCTGTCTGGTTACTGGAGTTTCCGACTCAGTTGTCCAATGAGGCCAACCCCTCCCCCCGCACGCTAGATTTCTTCCTCTTTGTTCTGCTTAAGATGATTGGGCCAGCAGTTTTTTTCCTCTTTACCTTAGATCATCATTTTTTCCCTCTTTATTTTGTTCATTTCATTCTGAAATTTCTCTTTAAAAAAATTTGTCTTGGCCCATACTTTGCCCCCCAGTTACCACCCTGTTTCTCTGTTCCTCTTGACAGCAATACTCCTCAAAAGAAGTGAATGTCTTCACTTTCTCTAATTCTTCTCTTCCCATTTTCTCTTGACCTACTCCATTCAGCCTTTTGTATCCCAGTTGACCAGGAAGACTGCCCTTGTCAAGGATACCAGTGACCTTCATCATACTAAATCCAGAGGTCACTTCTGTTTTTCCTCTCACTGAACTCTCAGCAGCTTCTGACAGAGTTGGTGACTCCCTCCTCTGTGAAGCCCTCTCTCTCCTTCCAAGATACCTCACTGTGTATTTTCTCCCCTCTCAATGTCTACTCCTTCTCCATCTACTTTGCTGTTTCCAGGGCTCGGTGCTTGGACCTCTTCTCTACCTGTGTCCCCTAATGTCATCTGGTCTCATGGCTTTAAATGCCATCTCCATGCTGACAGCTCTCCAGTTTATATCTCCAGTTTGATTTCTCCCATAAACATCAGATTTGTAGAACCTACAACTCAACATTTCTACTTGGACCTCTAAGAGACATCACACACAAGCATGAATTTCAACTGCAGTCTTTCCCTTCTCAGTTAATAGTAACTCCATCCTTCTAGTTACTCCAGCCAAAGTCTTCATTTTTGTCTCTTCTGTTACACCTCCCATCTAAATCCCTCAAAAAATCCTGTTGGCTCCACCTTCAAAACACAAATGGAAAGTAATCACATGTTACCACCCCGGCAACTACCATCCTGTCCAACTCATCTCTCACCTAAATTACTGTGAATGTTTCTGACTGGTCTCCCTGCTGCCACCCTTGCCTCCCTACACGGTCTTTTCTTAATCAAGCAGCCAGAGTGGTCCTTTTAGAAAGTAAGTTGGATCTTGTCACTCTCTGTTCAGAACTCCCCAGTGACTCCCCATTTCTCTGAGACTCAAAGCCAGTGCCCGGCGTCCCTCCCAACCTCCTCTCCTGTGGCTCCTCCCCGGCCTGCTCCACTCTGGCTGCACAAGCCTCCACACCCGAGGCACACTTCCGCTTCAGGCCTTTGCTCTGCTGTTCCTGCTGCCTGGAACATTCTTCCCGTGTAGTCTCGTGGCTCATTCCCACCTCATTCAGGTCTTTGCTCAAATTCCACCTTCCTAGAGAGGCCCACCTTGACCACCCTTTTAAAAACATTTTACCATCCCTTCCTCCCCTTATTCCTGTCCCCTGGCCACCACCACTGCTTCTTTCTGGCTGTCTTTTTACATGGCACTTCTCACCCTCTCATATCCTATGTAGTTTGTTCTGCTTATTGGTATCTCTGCCTCCTAGATTGTGAGCTCTATGAGGGTGAGAGTTTGTTTCTCTTTGTCTGTGGTTGTATTTTTATCACCAAGAACAACACGTGGCACACAGTGGTGTGCTCAGTATTTTATGAATTAATGCATGTGTAGCACTCGTTTGTTGAGGACCTGTTCCATGCCAGGTTCTTGGCAGGGCCCTGGGGATTTAAAGATGAAGGAGAGTGTGCCTTCTGTCCCAGGTTTTGTTTGTTCTGAACAGAAACACTGTTTGCCTGCTCAGCTGTGTCCTACTCTCTCAGCCTACGGCCTAGGATCCTTTCTGACTGTTCTCGCCATGTCGTTAGATCCATCTGCCCATGATCCCGGGGCCCTCTCTGGAATCAAACCCAGTGTTGTGCCACTTGGTGATGTCACTGTCCTATTCCTTCTGCACTTCACTGAGGTGGCCCTGGATTTGCATCCACCAGCTGGCGTATGAAGGGTCTCTTCTTGCTCAGCAACATCCACGAGCTTGGAAGTGGGCTTTCCACTTTCTCACCCTTTCCTATCAGGTTTTGAATTCTGAGGCTACCACTTACCAGCTATAGTGACGTGACCTTGGTTGGATCAGGCAGCTTCTCTGAGCCTGTTTCCTCAACTATGAAGTAGAGCCAATATAGTACTTAGCATATAAGGATATTATGAAAATTAAATGAAACAATGCACGTTTAGCAAAGTCCCTAGAATATATTTTCCTTCAATAGATGCTACCTTCTGTTATTATTATCATTACTGAGTTTGTATGGGTTAAGCAAACCATTTATGAAGCACATTTATAAAGGCTCTGAAAGAATAGTGGTTATCATTACTGCTACCACCATCACAATCACCTTAGCCAGTCCTTTTAGTATCCCAGGTGCTCCTCTTTCTAGGATGACCCACTAAATCCCTGTTAGCTACTCTTTGATCTAACCTTACATCAATTTACCTAACCTTCCTGTTTTTTTTTTTTTTTTTTTGCCTCATTCAGACCTGAAAGAGAACTATGACCAGTGGAACAACCTCATTGAAGGCATTGGACCATCACTAACCCCTGGGGCCCCACACCATCTGTCCAGCCTATAGGCACAACTGGTCATTTGTGAAACGTCACTGAGCTGAGTTCCCTTTTGGGGCCTGCCCAGTAACACCAATGACCTCCTATCAGGAAGTGGTCAATATGACCCTTCTTCATAGATGAGAGGGTGTAATCACACTGCTGATTGGTAACTAGGTACTTTGATCTTGGACTTGTTAATCTTAAACTCATGTTGGGACTTTGATCACTTACTGACTGGTAAACTGACTTTCTAGAGACTGAGCCCTGGTGGTGTGAGGAACAAGCAGTGGGGTGGGTCTGGGAGGACCCAAGCCACAAGCTGAACACCATGAGTCCAATTAACCCAGGGAGACTGCTTCCGCACCTTGGGCCAATGTGGCTTCTGCAGTGGAAGAAATGCAGGCAAAAGACGGAGTGAAAATTCCTATCTTCGGGGCCTCTGGTGCCAGAGACAACCTGGCACTGTCCCTTCCTGCCTCTCTCCTTCTCCCTCCCCAGGGCCTCTGAGCACTTTAGGTAGCTTTCTAGGATGTGGACCACCATCAGATTTTCTGTTTATTTTCAAGCCTTCTCATTGCATGAAACATAGTACCAGCATTTAGTCAAGACTAAGTTACACTTGTGAGCCCATGGGAGGGGCAGACAGCATTGTCCTGATAGCTTAGGGAGAGAAGCTGAGGGACAGAGGGTGCCTCAGAAGCTCCGGATGTCTTTGAGTTTTGCTGAAAATGTAGTTTGACAGGAAACAACACAAGTTGGTTGAGATGGAGAAGGTAGAATAACAGTGTTAAGTAGTGACTGGAACAGGCCCTCACCACAAAAGGGAAGAAGTTTGGAGGCCATCGAATTCAGGGGGCCATCCCTAGAGAGAAGTCTAGGAACACTCTGGTCTTGCCTCTTACTTCAGATGTCATGAGCCTCCAACTTGCTCAGAATCAGGGTGCTATAGTTGTCTCTCTCCTGGCTCTGAGGCCCTAGCCTCAAATTGAGTCAAGATACAGACTGAATTTCTATTCTGTTCCATTTATAATATGATATTAATACTCATGTTTGCCTAGTGATATGTTGGAATATTCTCTGTGTTTAATCTGCATTACAGCAAGATGGGGAGCCATCTGGAAGTAACTTTTCCTTCTGTCTTTCTTTGATCACTTACCACTTGTGCCCGTGTGGAAAAAAACTTTAAAAGGAAAGGAAGTCTTCCCAGGGATCTCGTTCCAAGCTGTCTGGGAACATCAATGCGAAACACTCCTCTCCACTCCCCTAGACTTCTCAGCTCAGTTTGAGTACGGGACTCCAGAGGAGGGAAGAGCAAAAGGGAAATGCATCTCTATACATCAGTGTCACCAAAGCAAGCTGGGACTATGCCTCCCATCTCAACAGCTATTCTTTCTAAGAGGTGAGACACCAGATCTGTTGAGGCTATGGACCTGCCTTGAGAGGACCTGTGGATTCCAGTGAGACATAGCACAAAGCCCCGGGCCCTTGAGTTCCATAGCCTGGTTTTGAGTCCAGGCTCCACTACTGCTAACTAGGTAAATTTGAGCAAATTATGTTCTCTTTCCAGTCTTGGTTCCTGCATTTCTAAAATGGGGATCTGCATTATGAATAATTAGGAGGATTCAGTGAAAGTATGTATAGCCCATGGGTTATGTACTTTCCAAACATTCGAGTTTTTTCTGGTTGTCCTATAGCTGTTGTTTTCTAGCTTGATTGCTTTCAGTCAGAAAATGACCCATATGATTTTCACCTGAAACTTACTTGTTGGCCCAGTGTGAGGTCAGTTTTATAGATGTTCCATGTATGCTTAATAAGACAGTGCATTCTGAAATTGTTGCTGTTTTACCAAAGAACACATTATGAATTTCCTTCTATGAGAATGCATACAGATACATAATAGGGCCATCCAACCTCTAGAAGGGACCAGAGCCACCCTGCACTCACAGAACCAGAAGAACCATCCCTTGTGCCTGGGGCTGGTTCTGCAGATGCTGAGAAGCCAGTTCGGACAGCATTAGCACATGAGACCCAACCTATACCTTGAGCCATAAATATTGCTGGTATGTTTTGTGGAGACCTGAAACACCCCTAGAGAAAGAACTTGTTTGGAAACTGAATCCATCTCCTCTATTCAGTTCATGTTCTGGTAATGACTCATTTATCTAGCATCACTGGAGTAGGTGAATTTTCCATATAATTGAAAATTATTCTTTAAGCCACAAAATGTAATATTGACTTTTTAATGGTTATTTACTAAAAAGATAATGCACATACTTCTTAATGTGATCTGACCTCTTAACTTTTTAGGATGTTTCAATCAGGATAGACTAGATTATATGGTAGTAACAAACAATCCCAAAAAACAATAAAAATTTATTTCTTGTCCATGCTGCTTATCCTCTGTGGGTCAGCTGGAGGCTCTGCTCTGTGTCATTTTTTAAAAAAATTTTTTTGGGGGAGAGTAATTAGGTTTATTTGTTTATTTACTTTTAATGGCGGTACTAGGGGTTTAACCCAGGACCTAGTGCATGCTCAGCATGCACTCTGTCACTGAGCTACACCCTTCTCCCCCTGCTTTGTATCATTTTTACTCTCGTCTGGGGACCCATATCTGGAAGCATGGCCATTGGCCATAGTGGATCTGGGGGAGAACATGGTGAAGCCCCTACTAACTCTTAAAGCTCCTGCCCAGAAGTAACCCTCATTATTTCCATTCACATTTCATTGGCCAGAGTAAGTCATCTGGCCCTACCTAACATCCCATACCTTCCCCAGAGAGCAGAAACATCTGTGACCAGATCTAATGTCAGAGCAATGGCGCCCTCTGGTCTGTGAAGATGTGGATAGCTACTTGCACCTACACTCCATGGCCCCCAGCTGCTGTCCTCTTAGTTCTTTTCATTGCTTTGCTTTTCTTTTTCTTCTTTTAACAGAGGTACTGGGATTTGAACCCAGGACCTTGTGCATGCTAAGCACATGCTGTATCACTGAACTATACCACCACTTCCTCCCCACCCCGCACCTTTTTCATTGCTTTTCATAGTTCGTGTTGTCTCCCTTGTGGTCAGCCTGCCAGGCATTGCTCTTCATTGTCTTGAATGTGGCAGCCCCCAGCAGGTCTCCGTGTTTACTTCAAGTTTACAACTTCTGATCAGCCACATTACTTAACAGCTGTCTGAAGTAGAACTAAGCAGTCACTGAGAGAGGGCTTTAGGGACTCTCCTGCAACTAGAATGCACTGCCTTAAGTGCTTAGGCTTTGTAATCCTTCCTTTGACTACTCAAGAGTGGTTATCACCGGCCTTTGGTCTTTTGCCCTGGTTTTTTGTTAACTTCCAGGGAATCAAAAGGCACCAGTTAAATGGCCTTTAAATGAGCAAGGTAATCCTGCATATTAATTGGCATGTGCTGATAAATTACATTCTAGTGAATTCTTTCCAAAAGCAAAGAAGATGTCTTGGGTTCCTTTTGTATCCTCTTGTTCCCCACCCCATTATAGGACCGTACCTGTGGAGACATTCTAGTGGTATATTGTAAAGTTTCTGTGCGCAGAATGGTGCATCAGTTAGGAAGGACAGTAAGTAAGTACAGGATGGAATGAAATTCTTCATCCTTTCCACTTCCTGGATGAGTCAGGCCCTCAGTTGTCCCTAAGCCCCTTTCTGGTGTGTGTCCTGACACAGCTTCCCTGCTTGCCCTTCCTTAAGAAGACTACTGGACTCTTGAAATGTCGGTTGATGGACTCCAACTTTATGTCTTGGCCTTGTGGGGACCTTCATCTACCCCCTTTTTCTTCTGGGGCGTCACTTACCCCTGGGCCTGCAAAGTGACAGAGGGACAGGAGAGGCCATACTCTGTACTTGGGACCTATCCTCAGTAGGAAGCTCACTGTCCCATAGCCAGATGCAGAGGCCACATGTCCCTGGCCATAGCTGCATGGAAAATGATGGCAATGGTCATCGTAATAGCCAACATTTACTGGGCTCTTACTGTGTGTCCTGGACTGTGCTCAGTGCTTTATATGCATCAGCTCATGTGCTGTTCACTGTAACTCCATGAGAGCTGGTGATATTAGCCTTATTTTATGTATGAGGAAACAGAGCCTTAGAGAAGTGATTTGATCAAGCTCTCAAAAGAAAGAATTTGGTGAAACTGGAATTTAGGCATCAAAATCCAAGCTCTTAATCTCTGGGCCACACAGCCTCATTTACATGCTTGGTTTTGCACCTTCCCCATATTTTTAAACTGTCAAGTTAGGAGGAATGTCATTTCATGAGGTTGAATCAAGAAAGTCAAACTCTCCAACAATTTCTGTATGACATGTACTGAAATTCAGTAGTATCCTTGGTGCTACTAAGAAGTGGGTTGCGGGGAGAACTGAGCTTTGCTGAGAACTGGGGGCCAGATGCTCTGTTGATTTGACAGATGAGGAGAACAGTTCAGCGTCGAAGAACATGGTCATTGAAATCAGTCAACTCCAACACTGTCAGCCCTGTAACTTTGTGCTAATTTATTAACTTTTATGAGCTTCAACTTCCTCATTTGTAAAATGGGAATTCTAATAGTATTTACCTCTTAGGGTGGTTGTAATAATTAAATGAACTAATTAATGCATGCTAAGCACTTAGCACAGTGTCTATTTTAAGGGCTTAGTAAACATTAGCCATTACTAGTAGTGGTTTATTTGATCCTCTTTACATACCTATAAGGTGAGGTATGATCTGCCCTTGTACTGAGTGGCCCCAGATGGTCTTGGTCTAACTCTTCTCCCAGCTTGTCCAGTTCCAGTTGGTTCTCACATGGAGCCTGCTAACTACCAGTCAACTACTGCTGTTGTGGGAGGGTGGAGCTGGATGCAGAGAGACAGTTTTCCATTCTCTTTGCTCTGATCTCCCTGCTCATCTCATAAAAAATCAAAATCCATACCACAGTTCTATCTCTGCACGTTGTCTTCACCACCAGGGAGAATCTACTCTCTTAGGTTCTGGTTTGAATTTTAATTCCACACCCGATCATCCAGACACGCACATCTAAGCACTAGGTGTAAATCAAAGGTCCTAAAATGTTGACCAGGAGCCCGGAAGAAGGTCTGTGTGGAGGCTGGCCAAATGGATGAGGACCTGGGGATAGGGAGTTTGTCATAGAAGCTAGTTGTGTGAATTTCTGTCTGCTGCCTTTGAGGCTGGGGTCAGGGGGTTAAAGTGTCCCGTGACCTCGTCAGGAGAAACTCCCAGGCCTGAGAATGGCCAGCAAATTGCCTCTACACAGCTCTCTCCCTTGCTGCTGTATCTAATTTCTACCAAGCTCTCTTTTCTTTCCTCTTGGTGGTTCTCACCCAGCCCATCTTTTCCATTTTACTTGAGCATAGTCCCTCCATCAGCTCACCCCTGGAGTGATTTTTATAGTCTCCTGGACTCTAACCTCTCTTTTCTCTTGCATTCTTCTGCCAGATCTGCCTGAAATACCACTTTTGTAAAAACAAAGTAAAACTAGCCTGGAAGGGTGGTCTAATGGAAAGAGGAACAAACTGTCTGGAGCCCTGGGTTCTTGTCTCGACTCTCTCGCTGCCCCTCAGTCTGTGACCTCTTGTGTGTGCTTTTCTCTCATGACTTTGGTTTCCTAATCTGTCTGTTGGGATGTGGGGGGAGGGGGTGGTCGTGTCTCTGTCACTGAGTTGTTAAGAATCTACAGGACTCCCTTTTCCCTGGAGAACTGCATCTTCTCCCCTCATTCTGTCTGGTCTTGCCCTACCTCTCCTGTACTCTGCTTCTTACCATGCCTTCTTCTTTTTCCACAATCCCCTGAATATGCCCACCCACCCCCTAAATAAACACGCATGCCCTGTCTCACAATGTTGTCTTGCTTGCAGGAACTTCCCAGCCTCCTTTCTGTGCATCCCAACACTGCTGTTCCTTTAGGGCCCATTTCGAGTCCCACCTCATCTGAGAGCCTTCTTGATTAGATTCAGCTAACACTTGATCTCATGGTCTCAGGCTCCCCAAGAGACATAGATCCTGTGCCATATTTAGTATTGCACTTTATTACGTTATTCCAGGAGTAGGACCCATCTGTTGGACGGGAAAAGCATCCTCCTGTTGACTGACATGGGGAGCAGGAATCGTCCCCTGCCCCCACCCCCCATCAGGGGGCTTCTTGTTCCCCAGCCAGACTTGGGAACAGCTGGTGTTCGTCCTCTGATGTCTCCAGCTGCCCCTGGTTCCTTTTTTTTTTTTAGGTTTTCCCAGATCCCAGCTGTGGGGCCCAGGGCAGAGCTAGCGACAGAGCAGCCAAGGGCAGGTGGAGTGAACCAAGATATATGGACATGTAGCATTTAAGAGTTAAAAGAAGGGCAAAACTGAGCACAAATCACACTAATGTTGAAAATGAGAGAAAGCAGTTTGCCAGCTTATTTTTCCCATCTTGCTTTCATCTAAAAAAAGAAGCTGCTCAGAAATACAGTCCTCCTCAGCCTACTGAGCCAGATGGTCCCTAGATGCTCAGCCTGCCAAGTGTGCATGTATAATTATTCATTTTCATGGGATCACACCCAGGTCTGAATCCAGACACTGACACTTTTTTTTTTTTTGCGCCATTTGATCTAAAGCCAATGAACCCTTTGGAGCCTTTCTTTCTTTTTCTGTAAAATGGGGTCACTAATGTCTACCTTGCCCACCTCAGGATTTTTGAGGGGGAAGGAGGGTTTCAGTGTAAGAAGTGAGAGCACTTTGTAATTTACAAAGCACTAGACAAATACACATTGCTATTAATAATAAAAATACCATATTTTGTTTTTGCCATAGGTGCTACTATGTAATGGGCACTTATTCTGTGCCAAATACTGTGCTCCGTGTTTTACATACATTGTATCATTTGATCCTGACAACATTCCTATAAGGAAGTGCATGTTACCCTCTACAACAGATCAGGAAAGTGATGTTCATAAAGATTTGCTAGCCCAGCCACAGTCACCCAGCAGGTAAATAAGTGCTGGAGCCAGGAGCCTAAACTGTTGGGTTCCGAAGTCAGTGCTCTTAATTCCTGTTCATTTGTATCTAACAAAAATGTAAAGCGGTTCTTTACCCAATGCAGGCTAAAACACTCCACAATTTGATCTCCAGTAAATGTCCTAAGCAGTTGGGTCATACAGAGAGTCATTTCTGTTGAAGACCTGACTGAGTTGGACAGTAAAGTTTGAATTACTTTTCTAGTAGTAAAAGTAGGCTGGGTCTGTCCATCCATCCATCTATCCATTTATACATCCACCCACTTCATATAAAGTTAACAGTTCAGGAAACAAGCCCAGAAGTACTATACTCTAAAACCATGAAGCCAACCATCTGGCAGAAAAATTTTCTTAAATCTCTAACCCACATATTTATAGATTCATG